CAAATCTGCTGTGTAACTCTAACCAATGATACAGTATGTTAATACTAACTATACTTATAATAATAATACTATAAACCAAGTCAACTCTTGCCATGTAAACACTTTCAGGGATCATTTAATTCAAACTTCCACATCTAATAAACAGTTAGAATGCAAAACACCACTACATTATGAACACCTTAAATTTAAACACTTCACAATATTTAAAGGAACAAACATAAAAGAACATTCAAACGTGAGTACTTCTAATATTAAATGTGAAAGAACATGTCAGTGATTGTTGAATAATTCAAAGTAAACGCAATCAAAGATAAACTGCAACCTTGGAATGCCTAGTATATCATAAATCTTATAAATAATTCAAAAGCTGCCACTTGTCTAACAGATATCTCCCAGAATGGAATGCAGAATGTTCAGTATTCTAATTCAGTGTTCTGTATAAGGAGATTTTTTGGATCTGGTGGTTAACAGAATAGGTTTCCTATCTTTAAAAATATGTCATATCTTGAAATTATGATGTATGAGAATTAGAATCAAAGAGATGCATATCTTAAGAGTCTAGTAGCAAAATGTTATCCTTTGTAATCAATTATGAAACAAAGTTTAGCATTCCATATGTCATAACACATAGGATAAAAATTATAATTCATACCCTATCATACCATTATTTAACTTGTGATATCATCCCCTGATCAAGGAGCCTCACTTTCCAATGCAGCCCCTTGTAATCTTTGTTATAATTTCATAATCTTTGTTATCATAGCTTTTCTAAAAATGTGTTAACTAACTTTACAGTATTACTAAAACAATCATGATCCCAATGCTGAGTATGAGAAAAACAATGATGACTACAGCAACAAAGATGATATTGACAATGATGAACCTGGCAACAATGACAACAATGAAAAAGATGATGCCATCAAAATGACTTTAGCAATGTTACTTACATGCACTGTCCCATCTTTAGCTAATCAATATCTGAACCCACATACTCCTATACTAGTTAGCTATAGCCTTAGTTAGTTATTCTCAAGATAACCATCTCTGCAAACATTCACCTGGGAAGATAGCTATGTAATAAACAATACAGATTGCTGTTCTTCATCATTTAGACATTCACACCCAGACATAAAAACACAATTCCTTGCTTTTCTTGCAAATGTAGAGCAATACTGGCAAGGGAATAAAATACTAAATAGTCAAGATGTGAAGTGCCAGAAATGGAATTAAGAGTCAGAACTGTCAATGATCAGGACAATGAACTGTCAATGATCAGGACAATGAACTGTCAATGTAGGACAGAAGGGAATAAATGTATATATTTGAGTTTTTCCTATGTAATTTAATGTACACCTATTACAGTGGGTCCCAGTTGGATCTCTTGCTACTTGATGGATGAAACCTTGAGACAGTGACACATTGAATTCCTGCTATTCATGTATTTCATAATGATATCTGAACCAGAAAAGTTTATTCACCAAGATTAAAACAAATCATATATGAAATCACAGTACTGTACAGTTCATTAGGAGTATGGGCACGGTACCAACGATATCATTCAAGTATGGTGCTGTACGGTGTTCATGATACGGTATGGTACAGTTTGAGTCTATGGTACTGTATGGTACCATACCTTACAGTATTAAAGCCAAAACGGTACTGTAGTACTGTTCGAGATTAGCTGTGTATGATCAATAAAAACATATTTTTACAAAATGATACACCTGTTTTATGCCACTTCCAGATGAAATCTCTTTTGACCTTGCTCTCGCCAGTTTCGTTTGGTTCCTGCTTTTTAATAACTAAATATAGTGAGACTTAATGCCTGTATATATATATACCTTGTATTGCATTTAAGAGAAGCTAAAGGCAGCATTAAAGTAACTGTTACAGGCACATAGAATAGGCATACTCAATTTTCATCATTTTCATTCTTTGGATTTTCAAATATAAATAAGACCTTGCAAAGGATCTTATACACCCTCCATTGGGATCTCCCCATGGGAAAAAAATAATTCATCTGATTTTTCAAAATGAGTATTCTGCTTCAATTATTACATTTATATTCACACTAGTATCTTGTTGACCTATATTCAGCACTGTATTGATGTATAGGCCACTTATTAGGGTCATAATTCAATCATGAAGTGTAGAGGCATAGATTCCAAACCAGGAAGTATTTTTGTGTCTGTCAAAATCCATTTACATCCTACGCATCCCTGCATTTTATCCAAATATGTTACTACATAATGAAATATAATAGTATAATCTTTGGTTTTACAAACTTGTATGATATTTGATAAGTGTAAAAGTTGTTTTTGGAGCATTTTTCTATAGCCATGTTGTAGGGGAAAAAATGATGAAAAAATGTACAATCTTTTAATTTTAAGTATGACCTGAATCGATTGCAAACTTCATATTTGCACATTTGATGAGATAAACCATTTGTGTCGTATTGTGAAATTATTAAGTTTGCAATCGATTCAGGTCAAAGTGTATTTTTGGTATTTCTGTGATGATCAATGGAAACCAATGGCCTCTTTTGGGATCTGCTGATATCCTCATGTTAAGTCAATGGTGCACAGCCCCGTGTAAGTCAATACAACCTTACTGAACGAAATGATCCCTATCTCAGCTTATGTGCGTCCGAGCACTTTAATATTTTCCAAAGTATTATATGACATTTTATTCTTCATGTTACACCTATGAATGATTCATTTTGACCATAGGGGTATTTGCCAATAATTGCACCTTGTCCTTTAAGCTTGTATTCGTGAATGCAACTAACGCCTGTCGGCTACCGTATTAACCTACTATTTTATGGGTAACTTATTTATATATGAATAGTACCTGCCACTATTCCTTTCATATTCAAATGAGTTGACCATAAACTAGTAGGTTAATCCGGTAGCTGGCAGATGTTAGTTGCATTCGTAAATAAAAGGTAAAAGTCTGAAGTGAGATGAGATATAGGAAAATGAAGACTACTTCATCTCATAAACTTCAATTATTCTTCAATGTTCTGATAACAAATATGTTTCCCCTCAGTCTTATTTGAGTTCAATTGTAGAGCTAGAGAACTAGTGAAATATGGGATAGAACTCATAGAAAAGTGAAATATGGGATAGAACTCATAGAACTAGTGAAATATGGGATAGAATTAATTCGAGAAATCATTTTTACATCATGAAATAAGATGAAATTATGCTCAAAAGGCAAAAAATGCAATTTGTTTTAATGATGCTGCTATGTTGTAATACATGCCCGGGAATACATGTAGTATTTTAATTCAAAATACAACATCAGAACTAAGTAGGTAAAGCAAAACATTATCTAAGAAATCAATATTTCACAATTGCAGCATTCTAATAAATAGAAACTGTTTCCCAAGGTTCCGTAATAACTGGAATTACAAGCTATCAGTTTCCATGTTTTTATCTTAACCAAACCTCCACTTATTGGTTATTCCAAATCCATCTCTCAATATAGATATCCAGGCCACGCTCAATAAAAATAGAAAACAATTTATTTGAGTTTATAAAACATAGTAGAGGAAATTGATTGAGGACATAGAGTTCTATTTACCCAATCAGACTAATTTATCATATGTTATTTGTACAGAGGGGAATAATAAGTACTCATTATACCATTTCTAATTGTTTTGTTCAAAGTGTATCAGCTATATATCTCTAACATTTCCATACAGTAGGGTATATACTGCAATAAAACATTAAATTTCTGATTATTCTAGAAAACTCCAGATGGTACAGATCTCAAGTTAAATCATCATATATCTTCTCATTTTTCAGTCAAGACAAATCTCATCAAATCATATGGAGCTTTGATCTAAATATAGATGTCACCTCTATACAGCCTAAATATAATGTGTTCATGTCTTATATTGATGTAAAAAATTCCAGGTGGTTTAATGGTTGGATTTACCCTTTGCATTCGTTTGACCAAATTTGACCAACATTCTATATATGGTCATTCCTTCTGACGTCATTGTTGAGCCCGGAATTGACCAATGACATGCGCATATTTAATTAGAATGCATTTGGCGTGTTTCTTCAAGCTCGCTGATTGGTAGAAGAAAGGTCAGTGCGTAGGTCAGAAGTGATTTCCTACCCAAATTGTCACCGGTACCCATCGTGGGGGCGGGGCTACTAAACTGTAAAATGGTCTCTACTAGGCAGAGTGTAGTTTAACTAGACTCTGCACGCAGGGTAGGTTGGATTAGAAACCTTTGGCTATGTATTCTTGCTTTAATTTGGTGGTTGTCATGGTGATATATATTTAAGGTGAAAATGAGAGGAAACAGCATGACTGCTTTTAAAAATGTTTTCCCCTACGCAGAGTCACTAGAGGCGTAGAACATCTAGACGAAGATAAGCTCCCGGATAAGCTGAGATTGTTTTACATCACACACAGGTGAAATAATATTTGTTTCCCTGTATCCAATAAAGCAATCATGCAGTAACACAATCTTAAGTTTACTTAAAATTATCACCATTATCTTCGCATGTACATCAAAGATAAAAGAAACTATGCTGTAAATTGATTCTACTAAAACAAAATGATCGCTCCCTTGGTATTTTAAAGGCAAGCCAAAGAAAACAAGTGGTACTCCTTGGAATAGGAAGATAGGAAGAATGTCAGCATTGTCAGTACTAAAATGGCTAAACCCCTAAATAACTCATCAAAAATATAATCATAGCCACCTGTTACTGACACTATTGATGGACATTTAAACCTTCTAGAAATGGATTGTTAGATGTTAGTTTTTAAGATCTAAGGAAAAGGTATTGTCTCTTTAAAATTTAAAGACAAAATGCACGAATTGCAATCATAGTAGACCTCATCTCCTCCTTAACATGTGATAAAGCCTCAAACCCCAATCTAACATATACTTAATTAGTACTATACATCATGGGATAAGGTCTTATCCTTCCCTTTATCTTATGTTTTTACATGTGATATTTGATGGGTGTAGTTCTTACCTGTAGCATAGACTGTGGCAGGCACCGCATGGTAAGTGAGGGGTAGGGCACTCTTCATTCTGGCAGCCTCTGTTGGATGGTTAAATCTCAGATATGTGGATGTACCTAGACACAGCATACAACCTGGAACAATCAAATGAAACAGCAGGTTAATCAACATGGAACAATCAAATGAAACAGCAGGTTAAATGAACATGGAACAATCAAACAACAGTCGAAAACAACACTTTAGTAGTAGCTTTAGTAGCTTGACCCATGAGTCGGCATAAAGACAACGCAAATCTTTTCTTCTTCAGGAGACTCTGAAACGAAATTGTTAAATCATCCAATCCAAGTAACTCATACCCTTTTAAAGAATCTGATTTCCATTTTAAAAATATCTCCCAGTCTTTTATCTCCATGGTATCTAACTTAATGTTGACCAGTTCATACATCCAACATTTTAGCTCCAGATGAAAAACACTGAAATAACAAATCCAAGAGACTCTAGTTGAACAGTGGTTGTAGTATATTATAAATCCAAGTTTGTCTTTTCAACAACTATGATATTGCTGCTGCTTGGCAATATCAAAGTAGAGAGTAGATCACAAACTTGAAATGTTCATAAATCAATGAACTATAATGTCAGTTATTGCACGAGGTATAATGTCTGTAAATATGGAAAAAGTACAAGCAGTTTTAACATGTCACTTTGAAGTGAAACCCATGAGTGTGAAGATGATGAACATGACAGTGCCTTCAACAGGCATATAGCCAGGATTTGCCAAGGGGGGTTCACTTTTCAAAGAATTCCAGGGGGTTCACCTTTGACTACTTTGGCCCAAAAAGGGTCAAAAATCACTTTGAAAAGTGCTCAGAATGGTGAAAAACTGTATGATTTTGAAAGAATTTTTGGCCAGGGGGAGCTCGAACCCTCTCCTGACTACAGGCCTGAACAACTTACAGATTACAGTTTCTTAACAAGACAAGTAAGTAATAACAATAGCTCACCCATGTGAGCTAAAAAGGGCCCAGCAAGACTTGAGGCAGGAATGCCCATGCTAAAAATAAATTCAATTCATCTTATTCAGAACTTTTTAAGTGAATTCATTTACAGCATTGATTCATTCTTCACTCAGTAACTTGACTTATCTCTCTCAACAAACACTTAACAACTACTATTACCTCAATCAGTAAGTTCAATTAAAATAAGTAAAGTGAACAAAAATAGTACTTTTGACATTATTTTGTCCTTTAATATATCATTTCAGTTATTGAGACTTTAGATATTGTGAAATATGAGGGGCTATGAGGTTAAAGTTTACTTAAGCTGAAATTCCTCTTTTTATTTAAATCAAGAGGAGCATAACAATTATGTCATTTTATTCAATCCACATTGCTATAATCTGTTAGAGAAACATGATGAATGAGATAATTAGTTAAACGTTTATTTACTTTTACTTTCTTAGACAGTTTAGAATATTTAGTTGGTGATCTGGCAATATATGGAAATGTAATAGTGAATTTTCCTTGATCATTTGATTGTTGATTCATCAGCCAATGTGAAACACAACTATATGGGATAACATAGTCAAATATATGGGATAACATAGTCATATATATGGGATAACATAATCATATATATGGGATAACATAGTCAAATATATGGGATAACATAGTCAAATATATGGGATAACATAGTCATGTGCAGACAAGAATTCTGGGAGACTGGCTAAAGAATCTAGAGGCCACTGTATAATTTACTGAACATGCTTAAAAACCAATCAGGTCTAGAATTTCATCCCAAGAAACAACCCTGAAAATAAATACATCCACCAGGCTGTTTGCATGGAAATGCCAGGAAAGAATTAGCACATGAACAATATGTGGTTTGGGTCTGCTAATTTTCTGTTCTAATGTTGTCAATGAAATGCTCACAAATATTACTATGGTAGTTCTGTATTTTAAAAAGTGTGTATTTATAGTCTGCCAAAGGGTGGATGTTATGACTTCCCCATGTTGACAGCATGTATGTCCAGTACAAATACCAGTGCAGAATTAAGAGATAAGTCCCCACAGATATGTCACCTGCATTTCCTGGACAAGGAAATTGGAAATGGCCAGGAAAAGATTAGTTTACAATGAAATTGAAAATGGCCAGGAAAAGACTTAGTTTACAATGATATTGGAAATGGCCAGGAAAAGACTTAGTTTACAATAGAGCAATTTGTTTCATCTTATGGTACCTTGTATGTTTTGAAATTTTAATGGCTGTTTTATTTTCAGGTTCCTCTAACTCATTAAATACAAAATAACAGTTTTCAATATACCCAGACTATTAGTAAATTATAAGTACATAATTATTAATATGCTAAATGTATAAAAAGGAGAGAATGGATCGTCTAGCTTGATTTGGACATTTAAAATGTAGGTAACTACTAGGCCTAATCTAGAGACATATATTTCTTTTGTGCAAAACTGAAATTTGAAGACCATGTATAGAGTAAATTATATCAGGGGCATTCAATGAAAGCCCATGGTCATATGTACTAGAAATTACAAAGGCCTCTAATTAGAAAGCCATTAAAAGTTTTGATCATTTTAAAGGATTATTCTGCCCAATAATTTTTTTTAATTAATTACTGACAAGCATTGCATATTTTGTGAATTATCTTCTAGTTTAAAATAATCAGAAATGGAACAACATAAGAAAAACAAAAGTCAAGCAAATTTTCTAGACTCGTATAAAACAAGCCATCAATTCAAAGACAAAATATCTGCATTCATTCCTTACATCTGGGGTTAAGATGCTTGGAAGCAATACCCAATACTTTAATGAGATGAAATGTTCATGTTTATTGTGTTCATTTCTCCTGCTGTTGGTATCCTGTTTGTTTGCACATTCCATGTTTATCTAATAATAAAAATGTCAATGTACATTAACACTGTTCAGTGATTAAGTCACTCTGTCCATTGCGGTCATCTGTTGATTGTATGAGCCTTAAACCACTTTGTAGATCTTGGAATTTATCAATTTTGTATTGTTTAATGGAATCAGAGATTGTTCCCACTGTCTCCTGAAGGGGAAGCCATTTAGAAAAAATGTATAATATAGTAGATTGCCTTGTTTTAAAATGGTAGTGGTATCGGTCAGAATGCTTTATAAAGACTGGCCAGACAGATGTGAAGCCTCAGAGAAAATCAGAATTTCCTGTTAGAGGCAGAACCACAAACTCTAGAGACTCTGAGAGAGAAGATAAGCATAGAAAAGACCACACATATGCAATTCTTTTCTGCTATTTCTTGGATGAGGCAGATCTGAGGATGTTTGGCTATTAGTCTTTATGGTCATAATATAATTTTGCAATGGATCAAATCAAATTTGGACTCAAGGTCAGCCCAATAAACAATGTTTATAATTGTTTATAAACCACATTTTGTTTACTTTTTTGTGAAACATCTTAACTTTTTACTGACATTGCGGTCACTAAACTTAAATTCTAACCTTATCCCATGTTATCTTTGAATCTCTTGACTTACTTTTAGTATTTGTGAATTGTTTAAGATGTTTAGATGTTAGACACTTTTTCTGTCAAAAAGCAGGATGGATATTTATAAACATCTAGGAATAATTAGCAAAGCCACAAAAACCACACATATACAAAACCGAAAGTTCATATCATGACATGACCTAGAGTCATTTGTTGTTTCAATGACTTTTAACATAAATAAAGAATACAATGAAGTTGCAATGGAGGAAACGTTTTCTTTAAAGCCCTTGATCCTACATCCTCCACAATTTGACAAATATCTGACAAATATTACAGTCAAAACCTGGAACCAACAAATGAACACTTCTGCATTGCTGATCCACTCCATAAGGTAGACTCATGAAAAATGATTATATTGGAAATTATATAAAACTGATTTGTTTTATTGTTTAAAACTCACCTTGCGTTAACTGAGTGGGCCTATTGACTAGGATGCCATCTATGGAACACAATCTGCCTACTGGATGTAACACAACACGGTTATCTGAGCTGTGTAGGATACAGCAGTGTTCATCCTCCAGTCCCTCCCCCTGCAGAACAATATCTTGTGGCCTACTTGCCTGCACTGTGCCAATAGTGGTGGAACCTGGGAATATGTCAACATATATGAAGTTAGCAAACAAGAGTTATGATGTTAGCAACAAGAGTTTTGATGATCAGTTCAAGAGTGAGTTTGTCTCGAATGATAAATCTTAATATGAGGTGAAATCTTACATAGAACTTATACATGTACATCATTGTACATGAAGATCTATTTTCCATCACATATGCATGTAGGCGTAATTATTTTCTCAGCAATTCCTTCCAATTTCATTCTAGTGAGTGTGACAAAAAACTTGCATAGAATTATGTATTCATCCCCGAGGAGAGAGTCATTGAGGTGATTGCAATATATCAATGTACACCCACAAGCTTAATTAATTAACAATTAATCACCTTACCTTTTCCCCTAAAAACTAAATAAATCTGTTTCTTAAAGCTGACAAAATTGTTTTTGACCGTCCCCCTGAAAATAATCCTCTATGTTGTCATGGCACATTCTAGCTTTTACTTGGCATGAGGGAGGCGTGAAACATTTTGCAGAAAACATCAATTCAAATATTGAATTCAAATTCTGCCAAAATTTGTGGCATTTCAAATTGTTGAAACATCAAAATTTATATTTATATGGAACATACTTTGAAAATATGAAGATTAAAATCAAACACTTCTGAAGTCACAATCCCGGCATTTATAACTTAAAAATGCAACATAGATTTGAAATTGTCAATCAAATCATATTACCATAAAGCATAACATACTCACCTAAAGGCAGGGGTAGTAAGGTGACAGCAGTGCTGAGTCTGCCTCCCCCCAGGCTGACCAGGTGGGGCATCTCACTCTGTACCTTCACCCCCTTGCCACTCTCCGTCACTTTCAACTGGTCCTGAAACATCATCTCATATATAACTTAAAATATTTCACAAAACTGTACATGCGTTCATTTTACTTATTTAGGTTTATTTGACATACAGATAGTTTAGTTGAATGTTTCATTCGTGACACAGTAAATCTATGACTTGTATTAATATTGTTGATGTAAACAATTCAACTGAACCCAGAGTACAATACAGCTGTATTGTAGAGTACAATGCAACTAGTGTCACCCTAGAGATTTGACACAAGTTCATCTAGGCATCTGATCTTTAAATATAAGTGATCAGTGAAGAATTTTAATCTAAATTCTGCACATTTTATTTTTATTTTCACATATTATTTTTCTAATTTCTCAGATAATATATTTCTTGATAAAACTGAAACTTTCAAATATGACTACTAGATTGACTACTAATTTTGACTACATGACTAAAGAGAAAACACACACTTAACACCTAAACTACACAAAAGGTTAAACATCACAACAAAATACAAACAATGACAGCTCAGTCAAGTGCACAACCCCAAGAAAACATTGATAATTGTTAAAATGTACCATGTAAATAAATGGTATTGTCACCCAAATTAACATTATTTGGTATTGTGCATTAGACTGCAACACACAACAATACATAAAACAAATAAATCAAAGAAATAGGGAGATAATATGTTTGTGAGGGTGAATTAAACATAACTAGGGATTCATCTGATGTTTATGACTTAAGAGGCTCAGCAGTAAATCTTCATTTAACATAACATTGTAAGTAAGAAAGGAACTGGAACTTAATTTAAAGGCCATAACATCATACCAGTCTTATGCACAGATAATTACTCCAACAAATCACAGGCTAATTTGGCTGCAGATGAACTTATTAAGTATACTGTGCATAAGACTGATAACATCATATTTAGCATTAGTCACCTCCCCACCCTGGAGTAACCAGGTTTTTTATATTCTGCATCACACATTTGCCAGACCACCTGGATTAAAACTAACCAGGTAAAACCAGGGATGCTTTGCCAAAAATCGTGAATAAGAGAAAGGAAATTATACAAACAGGGCCTTAATTTTGCAAGACAAGAAAATCAGGCATTTCATCTATTTTCCTCAAGTGTTATAGGAATAACTTAAAAAGAAATGTGAAAATTACAAACTGAACTGTTTTACATGGGAGTCTGGGTTAACCTGACTATTTGTGGGAGAAAATCAACACAACATGTGGGAAAAATATTTCCTGCATAATATCTGGGAAAGATCATGCTCTAGGGTGAGGCTTAACATGAGAAGTATGTAGTTGTCATGGTAACCTGTGGTAACATAACATTCATGTTCAGAGTAATTAACTTTTGCTTGTCTTCTGACATCAAAATAATTAAACGAATATAGTTGTTAAAAAATGTTCTGCTACAATCCAGAATATAGAAGCACAATCCAACTGAAATTTAAAATATAACAGGCTAACAATACAATATACAACTCTAAACCAGGTAAATGTAGGATGGCAATCTTCATAATGATTTCTCAAGATTCATACATCAAAGATGCAGGGTTTATTTATTAAGAGAATGACCCCCCCCCCTCTTTCCATATGAGGGGTGCAATAAAAGACTTAAGAATGAATAAAATGCAGATGAATCTTGAGAATTATCACAATAGTGGCCTTACTAATTGGCAGATATCAAAACATGAGCTCTGTAGGACACCATGGAACTCCCATAAGGTCCCACATTGGACTCGGTGGGACTCGCTGGAGCAAAGTACCATAAAGCCCCATCTCCATGGGGCATCATGGAACTGTTGATCAAGTGATGTGTCACATGACTTTGGATAAAAATGGTTGTGGCAATACCTTCTGAACTAAATTACATAATTTCGGTGAGACTCGATGGGGCATGGTGGGACTCGATGGGGCATGGTGGGACTCAATGGGGCAAATTTAACAAGGCCCCATGGGATTCGATAAGGCAAAGTAGGACTCGATGGGGCAAATTCGACTTTGCCATTAGACTTAAATTCGGCTTAAGGCAACTTTAACTGACACTTTTGGAATCTGTAGATTCTTCAAAAATATGTATAATAAAAATAAGCCAAGAGATCAGGGCATGAAATATCCCAAATAGAAAGAGATCAAAGAATAAAATGGGAAAATATAGTCATCGTAACAGTAACCCCGCTGTGAAACAATTCCCATAGAGTTTCTAAACTGCCACATTAGTGAAGCCCTACATATGTGATGATCTACATAGGGACTAAGGGCTATAGGCCAATACAGGGGCATGCTATGAATGTTTACCAAGGGGCAAACAAAAGAGCGTCTGTTGGACTGTCGCAGTTGACGATCTCGTCCAGAAAATGCATGTTGACGGAACTTTGCTAAATCCATGTGGGGATATGTGAAACAAATCACTTTGGGCTGAAATAGAAACATATAATTGCAATTCATCAATCTATATTAAGAAATGAAACATACATCATACAGAAAATAGAAAGTTTAACTAACCTCGATTTGAATACAAAGAAAATATTTTCAGAAAATGATGAGATCTGATTATGAAAATATAAATGATGATGACAACAGAGATGATGATTCATTATGATGATGATAATGATGAGACAGTCAGAACTTTTGTAAAGAAAATGGGAAATATTTTGAAAGCCAAGAGTAAACAAAAGTTCATTATTTCCCAGAGCAATATTAAGATCTGGGTTATAAGGTGAAGGAGAAAATCAATTTGTAAATGTATAACACCACTTCATAGGTTAATATAGGAGTATACAGAACCAATGTCAAATGGTAGTTGAGAGACTTTCCTTGTTCAATATAAAAAACATTTACTTAATGAAAATCCACTTAACAACTAAACTAGATTGAAATGATGGTAAGTTAAACCCAAGTTAACTGAGAAGTGGGTTTCTGAAAGCTTAAAAGTTTGAGTCTTTCCACACTTTGTCTGGAATTGAGTTATTCTAAAAATGTCCAAAAACATCAAAACTATTTTTGCTTCTTGTTATCTTGGCACATTGATGCAAAGGGGATGTCAATTAATCTGGATGTTACAAAGTCCAGGAAGGTTTTATGACTGCAACACTTCATAATTCCTAACCTTTGATTCATGATGATGAAATATAATTGCACACTCACATGATTCAAATAATAAGGGCATTTTCCTGGACTGACACAACTACCTTAACAGTGTCGGCCCAAAACCTTAACAGTGTCGGCTAAAACCTTAACAGTGTTGGGCCAAACCTTAACAGTGTCGGCCCAAACCTTAAAAGTGTTGGCCCAAACTTTAACAGTGTCGGCCCAAACCTGAAGAGTGTTGGCCCAAACCTTAAAAGTGTTGGCCCAAACTTTAACAGTGTTGACCCAAACTTGAACAGTGTTGGCCCAAACTTGAACAGTGTTGGGCCAAACTTGAACAGTGTTGGGCCAAACTTGAACAGTGTTGGCCCAAACATTTAATACAATTTTCTAAAACTGATGGCTATAGTCAATCATTATGCAATAATAATCAGAAGAAAATGTCCCTAGTAGTTTTTGTCCTACCTGCATTGTTTCCTCTTGCTCCTGTGCCCTTTTAGCCATCTCAGTGCTGATGTCACGGTCATACGGACTAAACTGTACACGCTTCATAGCTGGCATAGTAACAGTTACTAAGGTAATAATATAGTAACCATAGAAACTGATTCCTCTTCAGTTTCTGATTTATCCAATTTCTTGCTGAGACTTTAGAGTAAATGTGATATCCCTACTGCCTAGATCAATTCCAGGAAGCCACTTTAACTTGTTTCGTTTCAATTCAAGAGATCCTTTATTGTCTTCCAAAATGAATTTTCATATTATCCACTAGAATATTTTTTCTTTTGTATTATTATATTTTTATGTTTTCAGGTCATTTGTTGCTCCTAAATTTCAGGATTTAACTGTTTCTTGCTTCTAACTCATTGAATTCCGTATATCCCCCAGGTCCTATTTCTTGTAAAATATTATCCCAGCTAGGCTATTGTCAATGATTTATAAAACAACTGGTTAACTTTCCATGTTTATTTTAAATAGGTTGTTTTCCAGAGGAGTTGCCATGTTATTGTTTCCTCAGCATATCACCGTAGTCAGCTCTTCAAAGTCACTGCTACCTGAAATCACAAAAATCAAATAAGTTATTGAATGACAACTAATCAGAGTAAATTTAAAAAACATTGCCATTTATATTCAGTTGCTAGTCTCACAAGGTTGCAGGCAAGACTTTACTTCTTTAGAAAAGCAAAACATTAGCTAGACATTGAAAAATTCAGAAAATGTATTTTTTACACAAACCATATCTAAACAGTAAATTGAATCTAAGTTGTAAACTTTGTAGATTTACTTGACATGTAAATGTAATTGCTGCAGGGAACATTTCAAAACTGTTTTTTGAAGTTTGAAAAATATCCTGACATGTTAGACCCTTTGTAATAAAATATGGTAAGGTTAATTTTAGGTTGTCCCCTGTGGCAAGAAGGAAACCAGCAAAATGGTCTCGAACTCCAATCTTGTTTATTTTTCTCCCTGAAGAAATAATGTTTGAGATGTACTTTCAAACACTCCTGTTCCCTCGATTTATTCCTTGAAATTTCTTTACTTCAGTAAAATAAAGTGCAAGACATATTGTTTTGTTTAACTTTACTAGCCTAATGTAAACTACATGGTCATGTTAATTCTTATCTACTTCACATGCAGAAGGACCCCAGGCTAAAACAACACTTTTTACATGAACTTATTTTGTAAATACACCACTTAGAAAAACACTATAACAAGACATTGCTAAAATACTTACCCAATTAAATGACAAGAAAAATAACTTACAAATTTGAACTTAATAACTTACCAGATCTAAACTTAAAAAAAAGAATTTAAAAATTATAAAAAACACACACAACAAACCGATGTTGACAACTTGTACTAATTCCCCTTTGTTTGTACCTAATTAACTTTATGTGGCTTCATTTCCATTATTAAACTAACCATCATTTTGTGGATTAACCAACCACTTTTTTCACCAACAGTGTATTATGATACATCACATACAGCTTCATTATCTCACCATGACCATCCTTATTTGGCAATTACATGTTTAACTTGGCCACCCATCAGTTCACATTTCCTATAAAAGGATCTGTATGATTATTACTATTGATATAAGTGCTCAATTTATGACTTCATTTAATAATCCTCAAAGTTTCACTCCATTTCACAAGAAATGAGCCAAAAACACAATTTTTATCTAGGGAGTGTTAAATACCAGTGGTTATATATAGTGGTTTCTTAACAACTTACACAAATACATGTACAAACATGCACCAACTTACCTGCAATTTCCTACAGGAAAGTTATTTAACACTTGGAAAGTTCATTACATTTAATTAACATTGCATCATCAAAGTGGTCAATTACACAAAACATAATACATGTATCATAATATTGCATCCCCTTTGCCCTGCACAGCTAGATAACAATACAAGTTAAAGTAAAGTGCTCTATCAGCCACAACTGTTAGGCCCATATACAAATGGAGTACTTGTTTTGGAATAAAAGCTATTGTTGGTAGAGAAGCATCAAAAAGTGAGTCTTCAAGGAAAATCACCTAAATGCAATCTGAATGATATGCAGTCATATTTTTGTAAGTGAAGAATGATGAAAAAAAACATTTTGCAATACATGTATTTTGGGCAGGAAATAGGCCATGTAACCAACAACAGCATTTGGACCAGTTCCCAAACATATAAATGAACACTGTACCATGGTCACTTTCCATTTTTAGGTTTCTAATTAATTTTGTAACCAAGACCATAACTGTGACCATGGCTTATATTGGCACCAACAATGTTTTCAACTTAGGTGGTATATATGATATATTTGTGTTGTTAAAATCAAATCAGTTGGTAAATGATGATAACTCAACAGATATTGTCCAACTGACTTGTAATTCTGACTTAGTTGAATATTTCGACTGAAGGGCAATGGAACCAAATTTACTGCCACACATGAAATGTTTTGATCTTATGATGCCCAAAAGCACTGACTTTGGTCCTGTTATCTTCAGATAGACAAAAAGATTGGCCTCGCCTCACCGAAAGCCACATGCAGCTCACCAACTTCCTCTAGGATTTCCTGATAATACCAGAACCAGAAAATAAATAACAAACTTGTAGATTTTATGAGAGTGGTCCCATGTCATCACCTTGCCTGATTGTTGTCCTTAGATAGATCTATGTAGTAATTTGAAACATTCACACACTATTATGTACCCTAACTAATCTAACCCTAACCTATATATGGCAATGGCTACATCTTTTGAATCTCTTGTAGGATATAGAGGTCATTCCATCCCTCTCTCTGCATTTATTCTTTGAGATGGTTTATAGGATTTAGGGTGATATATGGCAATACAATAAAAAGAAAAACAAATCAACAAATCAATATTAATAAAATCATACTACATTTCTTTCTAGTTGACAACATCACAACCATACCAAGCAACATAATATAAATGAAGAAATATTACTATGTATTTACATTTATGTACTAACATTTATCAGATCAAATGTGATATCATACATTTGTGGCATCACTGATTAACCATGGTACAACAACAGACGATTTAAACCAATAAAATGTCTGTTTAAATTTCAATGAATTTGATTGATATTAATGATGATTCTCTATTCCAAAGAGATAAAAGTTAACCTTACCTTCCTAAGCAGCCCTATCACCATATATATTTATATCATGATCATGCTAGGCAAAGACGTAATAGGTACATAGCCCATGCCTCCCATCAAATATATTAACAACCATACTGAGCAGAGACAACTAAAGCAAGGTACTAGCAAGATTCAAAATGACATGCCTCAACAAATTCATATTAATACAGAAATGGCTGTAACGGATGAAGTTCATTCATAATCAGAGCAAATCAGTGTAGTTAACTTGTTTGGAATGTGATTTTAGGTGAAGGAATCGTGCAAATGCTTTCTATAATTACTTCTGTTTGCTTCTATTTAGACACAGTGACTCATCTTCCCTGTACAACTGTGAAAATGTATCATTGAGCAACTCTTGCAAGATACTATGTAAAATATTTCTTGGTAAGACTGATGAACTCGTTTTAACACTCTTTGTAAAGATACATATGTGGCATACAGAAATGAAGTGAGATGGTTCATACATATTATCACAAAAAACACTGACCAAATGGTACATTCTCAACTTACAACATATAAATGTGATTTTGTGATTCCTGTTGAAGAGATAACCATGCTACAAATATAGACATCATTTTAAGTTTCTTGAACTTCAAAACAAATGCAGTGACAATCAACTCCACAGATATAAGGTAGTTACATACTGTACCTATTATGTACATATGAGAATGTAATGCCAGCAACCTGGAACTCTAACTGCCCAATATACCTCTACAGATTAGCCTAATCTCATCCCAACCATCCCTTAATCCATACATGTTTTTTTTATATACTACTCCCTCAAAAAATTAACAAATAAAGGCACAAAAAATTATTTTTCATAATATTTTACATTTCATTTGTCACAACTATCTATTTTCCTTACCTTCATTCTGTTTTTCCCTGAAGACCATTCTGGTAAGAGATTTGATTTCCAGGTAGACAAATTCGATTTCACTTACCTGGTTCTAATTTGCTATCAGGATACACAACTCTAAACTAAAACAACCAGAATAACTCATGTTCCCTTGCTATAAATACATTTAAATAGTATAACAGTGGAAAAGAATACAGTACAGACTTTACCTGGTTCTTACATACTTGTTTCCTGACACCAGACTGAGAGACTGTTCCAGGACCAACTTTTTCCCAACTACTTACTGCACACCACTACTGCCCTTGCATAAAGTGACAACGAGTCAATTTTTCAAAAAGAGATGTAATCAGAGGTATAACTAGGGTAAGAAGGTTTTTAAGTTCAAACTATATCAATTGTATTCAATTGTGAATGATCACTAGTGTCATTTTGAGAGAGAAACTTATGAGGTACATGTATTTTTATTTCATACAACAACCCACCCTGAAGCAATAGCAGTCATATATTTTATAAACCCAAAAGTTAAAACAGCAACGCATGTCAGGGCTACTAGACAAATACTAAATGAAATGATAAGATCATCAATATAAACAAACTTAGACCTCAAACAAAAAAATGTTTTATTTTCTAATAAATTTTTTCTAGTAAACTATTAATGATTGTCACACAGAATAATGTTTGTATTGCCTAAACGGGAGTTTAGTCTTCTGTGCCCTTCCAATCTTTATTAGAGTTTCCTATGGCAAAGCTGAAAATACTTACAAGCATATATATGGAAGTATTTCATCAAGATAATTGATTTAATAGTTTAGGTGGGGCTTTAAAAAATGCCCCAGCTCTACTTTTGGAGGAAGAAAGGGGAGGTGGAGGGATAAAGTAATCTACTTACCCAAATTCTCTTTAAAAGTTGAACACTTTGCGATAAAATACAGCGATGTAGACGACCGAGTCTTTGCAGAACTTTTGGGACGATCAATTACTTGACCTACTTTCCCATCCTCTGATTGGCTGGCGGCTAGCGCGGTCTTTTCAAAAATTGGTAAAAAGGCACAGAAAACTCCCTTGATCAAAACTTCATGTAAATAAAGACATTATATCTAATATAATGTTTATTTATTTTCTAATAAATTTCACAGCGATAAAGTAATCTACTTACCCAAATTCTCTTTAAAAGTTGAACACTTTGCGATAAAATACAGCGATGTAGACGACCGAGTCTTTGCAGAACTTTTGGGACGATCAATTACTTGACCTACTTTCCCATCCTCTGATTGGCTGGCGGCTAGCGCGGTCTTTTCAAAAATTGGTAAAAAGGCACAGAAAACTCCCTTGATCAAAACTTCATGTAAATAAAGACATTATATCTAATATAATGTTTATTTTAAGTTAGGAAATGTCATATGTATGTGAGACCAATCAATCTGATCTACAAATAACTTCTGGGTCAGAAAGGTTTCAAATGTGAGTAAAAACAAATGTTTTGTCACCCCTCTAACACTAAACATACTCAGTCAATTGACTTCTTCAAAAAAGCTTC